GTTTTATTTTGACAAAGGCCCGATGAGGTATGAGGAGTAACTCAGTCACTTTAGGATTTCAATGTTGCCGAACTGAACTACAATGCGACGTATTCTTATTTCATTTTGCAACATCTATACTTCTAAAAAGCTCTATTCCAGCACAAACACACACACACACATATATATAAATGTGCTGGTAAATCACTACTGCTATTGCTGGTGCAGGAGTGGTAGCACCAGCACTAGTAGTTGTGGTTTACCAGCAATAGCAGTAGTAGGTGACCAGCAATAGCAGTATTGATAGAACTAGCTATACCAGTAGTGGTTCACCAGCAATAGCAGTAGTGGTAGCACCAGCAATTGCAGTAGTGGTTCACCAGCAATAGCATTAGTGGTTCACCAGCAATAGCATTAGTGGTTCACCAGCAATAGCAGTAGTGGTTCACCAGCAATAGCAGTAGTGGTTCACCAGCAATAGCATTAGTGGTTCACCAGCAATAGCAGTAGTGGTTCACCAGCAATAGCAGTAGTGGTAGCACCAGTAATAGCCGTAGTGGTTCACCAGCAATAGCAGTAGTGGTAGCACCAGCAATAGTGGTTCACCACAAATAGCAGTAGTGGTTCACCAACAATAGCATTAGTGGTTCAACAACAATAGCATTAGTGGTTCACCAGCAATAGCAGCATTGGTAGAACCACCGATACCAGTAGTGGTTCACCAGCAATAGCAGCATTGGTAGAACCACCGATACCAGTAGTGGTTCACCAGCAATAGCAGCATTGGTAGAACCACCGATACCAGTAGTGGTTCACCAGCAATAGCAGCATTGGTAGAACCACCGATACCAGTAGTGGTTCACCAGCAATAGCAGCATTGGTAGAACCACCGATACCAGTAGTGGTTCACCAGCAATAGCAGTAGTGGTTCACCAGCAATAGCAGTAGTGGTTCACCAGCAATAGCAGTAGTGGTAGCACCAGCAATAGTGGTTCACCACAAATAGCAGTAGTGGTTCACCAACAATAGCAGTAGTGGTTCACCAGCAATAGCCGTAGTGGTTCACCAGCAATAGCAGTAGTGGTAGCACCAGCAACAGCAGTAGTGGTTCACCACCAATAGCAATAGAGGTTCACCACCAATAGCAGTAGTGGTTCACCTGCAATAGCAGTAATGGTAGCACCAACAATAGCAGTAGTGGTTCACCAGCAATAGCAGTAGTGGTTCACCAGCAATAGCAGTAGTGGTTCACCAGTAATAGCAGTAGTGGTTCACCAGCAATAGCAGTAGTGGTTCACCTGCAATAGCAGTAGTGGTTTACCAGCAATAGCAGTATTGATAGAACTAGCTATAGCAGTAGTGGTTCATCAACAATAGCAGTAGTGGTTTACCAGCAATAGCAGTAGAGGTTCACCAGCAACAGCAGTAGTGGTTCACCAGCAATAGCAGTAGTGGTTCACCAGCAATAGCAGTGGTGGTTCACCAGCAATAGCAGTAGTGGTTCACCAGCAATAGCAGTAGTGGTTCACCAGCAATAGCAGTAGTGGTTCACCAGCAATAGCAGTAGTGGTTCACCAGCAATAGCAGTAGTGGTTCACCAGCAATGGCAGTAGTGGTTCACCAGCAATAGCAGTAGTGGTTCACCAGCAATAGCAGTAGTGGTTCAACAGCAATGGCAGTAGTGGTTCACCAGCAATAGCAGTAGTGGTTCACCAGCAATAGCAGTAGTGGTTCACCAGCAATAGCAGTAGTGGTTCACCAGCAATAGCAGTAGTGGTTCACCAGCAATAGCAGTAGTGGTTCACCAGCAATAGCAGTAGTGGTTCACCAGCAATAGCAGTAGTGGTTCACCAGCAATAGCAGTAGTGGTTCACCAGCAATAGCAGTAGTGGTTCACCAGCAATAGCAGTAGTGGTTCACCAGCAATAGCAGTAGTGGTTCACCAGCAATAGCAGTAGTGGTTCACCAGCAATAGCAGTAGTGGTTCACCAGCAATAGCAGTAGTGGTTCACCAGCAATAGCAGTAGTGGTTCACCAGCAATAGCAGTAGTGGTTCACCAGCAATAGCAGTAGTGGTTCACCAGCAATAGCAGTAGTGGTTCACCAGCAATAGCAGTAGTGGTTCACCAGCAATAGCAGTAGTGGTTCACCAGCAATAGCAGTAGTGGTTCACCAGCAATAGCAGTAGTGGTTCACCAGCAATAGCAGTAGTGGTTCACCAGCAATAGCAGTAGTGGTTCACCAGCAATAGCAGTAGTGGTTCACCAGCAATAGCAGTAGTGGTTCACCAGCAATAGCAGTAGTGGTTCACCAGCAATAGCAGTAGTGGTTCACCAGCAATAGCAGTAGTGGTTCACCAGCAATAGCAGTAGTGGTTCACCAGCAATAGCAGTAGTGGTTCACCAGCAATAGCAGTAGTGGTTCACCAGCAATAGCAGTAGTGGTTCACCAGCAATAGCAGTAGTGGTTCACCAGCAATAGCAGTAGTGGTTCACCAGCAATAGCAGTAGTGGTTCACCAGCAATAGCAGTAGTGGTTCACCAGCAATAGCAGTAGTGGTTCACCAGCAATAGCAGTAGTGGTTCACCAGCAATAGCAGTAGTGGTTCACCAGCAATAGCAGTAGTGGTTCACCAGCAATAGCAGTAGTGGTTCACCAGCAATAGCAGTAGTGGTTCACCAGCAATAGCAGTAGTGGTTCACCAGCAATAGCAGTAGTGGTTCACCAGCAATAGCAGTAGTGGTTCACCAGCAATAGCAGTAGTGGTTCACCAGCAATAGCAGTAGTGGTTCACCAGCAATAGCAGTAGTGGTTCACCAGCAATAGCAGTAGTGGTTCACCAGCAATAGCAGTAGTGGTTCACCAGCAATAGCAGTAGTGGTTCACCAGCAATAGCAGTAGTGGTTCACCAGCAATAGCAGTGGTGGTTCACCAGCAATAGCAGTAGTGGTTCACCAGCAATAGCAGTGGTGGTTCACCAGCAATAGCAGTAATGGTAGCACCAGCAATAGCAGTAGTGGTTCACCAGCAATAGCAGTAGTGGTTCACCAGCAATAGCAGTAGTGGTTCACCAGCAATAGCAGTGGTGGTTCACCAGCAATAGCAGTGGTGGTTCACCAGCAATAGCAGTAGTGGTTCACTAGCAATAGCAGTGGTGGTTCACCAGCAATAGCAGTAATGGTAGCACCAGCAATAGCAGTAGTGGTTCACCAGCAATAGCAGTAGTGGTTCACCAGCAATAGCAGTAGTGGTTCACCAGCAATAGCAGTAGTGGGTCATCAGCAATGGCAGTAGTGGTTCACTAGCAATAGCATTTTTAGTAGCACTAGCAATAACAGTAGAGGTTCACCAGCAATAGCAGTAGTGGTAGCACCAGCAATAGCAGTAGTGGGTCATCAGCAATGGCAGTAGTGGTTCACTAGCAATAGCATTTTTAGTAGCACTAGCAATAGCATTTTTAGTAGCACTAGCAATAACAGTAGAGGTTCACCAGCAATAGCAGTAGTGGTACCACGAGCGGTAGGCGCAGAAACGAGTGGTTGAAATAAGGGTAGCACAAGACAGAGTAGTCAAAATGGAAATAGAAGTAATGCAGAACAATGAATAACCGAAGGTAGAAATGAACAATAGTGAAAGGTAAGATCGAAAACGAAGAAATATTGCTGCAAGGTAAAACATTTGGAAATTGGTGTAAAATGACAATAAGCAGAGAAAAGAAGGCAAAGTGAAGATGAAATGTTTAAAGCTCAGTAAAAAAAAAAATAAAGATAAAGAAATTGCAGTAAAAATACAGTAAAAGTGCAGTAAGATTACTGTAAATGCTCAGTAAGAGTTCAGTAAAGTTCAACATCAATACAAAAATCCATAAAACCGTAAATGAAAGGCAAAGACTCAGCAGTAAAAGCACAGTTCATTAGCGTTACATACAAGCACTGTTAAAAGATTAAGACTGATAAAAGGATATGTAAAAAGACCTAGTATTTAAGTTGAGCATAAGTGGATTTAAACTTGAGTTATTTCAACTTAATTTACGGTGTGTATTATTTCTATTGCCTTCTTTGGTGCTTAGCTAACTCGCCCACCATTATTCAAGCCTAGGAAAGCAGCAAAGTGCCAGTGCAACCTTTGGTATCGTTTTGCAGAGAGCGGATGTGCCACAAACAAGGTTCTAGTTGATACTGGTTATTTGCTCCGTTCTCGTCACAAAATAGTGATTTTTTTTTCTCATGAATAACAAAACAAAATACATTTAGTCCACGAAATTATTCATTCCGTGACAAAATATCACGAACTAAAACACGAACTAAAAGAGTTTATGAATGAATGATAAACTGACTAAAAGCATCACGCATTAAAATGTCACGATAAATCGCTCACAAATTATAGAGCAGTAAAATGTGACCTTATAATAACACAACACGAATAAGAGAAATACACGAACTAAAAGTAGGGACAATAAGACTAACAAATGCATCAGTTTATAGAAATGACATCGAAACCAAAATATAAACATATCTGTTTGTGTATGTGTATAAATCATTATACGATATATATATATATATATATATATATATATATATATATATATATATATATATATATATATATATATATATATATATATATATATATATATATATTTATATATGTATGTATATATATAAATTCATATTCATATGGATTTATATATAATTATAAGATATATATATGCGTGTATGTATGTGTATGTGTGTATATATATATGAATATATATATAATGTATAGATTTTTTTTTTTGCATATATCTTGTGGAATGAATAATTTCGAGAACATAATATATTTTAATTGGTCTTATTTTGTTTTTCATGGAAAAAAAATATTCACTATGTTGTGACTAGTTCCTGGAGTTGCCGGGAACGGAGTAAATAAACAGTGTCAACTGAAACTTTGTATGTGGCACAAACGCTCTCTGCAAAACGTCACTGGGTCTTTGCAGCTTTCCTAGGCTTGAATGATGCTGGGCGAGTTAGCTAAACACCAATGAAGGCAATAGAAATAATACATAACATAAATTAAGCTTAAATTAAGTTTATCAATCTTATTCTTTTAACAGTGCTTATATGTAACACTGGTTTTCGTATGGAAGCAACTTAATGAACTGCTAAGTGTTTGCCTTTCATTTACGGTTTTATGGAAATTTGCATTGTGTTGAACTTTAATGAAGTCTTACTGAACATTTACAGTAATCTTACTGTACTCTTACTGTACTTTTACAGTGGAAGAAGGATAAAGTCATTACTGTTAGGTCTTTTCAAAAGAGTTACTTGTCTTAGTTCAAGAGGAGTGAACGGGAGCCCTAACTTTATTCCTCACCTGGTCCCCAAGCCTCTCCTGCCTCACGGGATATTTAATTTCGAGCTCCTCCTGGAGCTCGAACCTGTCCTTAAGTTAAGAGTATTACAATATATATGTATATATGTATACATATATATATATATATATATATATATATATATATATATATATATATATATATATATATATGTATATATATATATATATATATATATATATATATATATATATATATATATATATATATATATATATATATATATATATATATACACGTATGTATGTGCACATACAAAATGTGTATATAAACTATATATATATATATATATATATATATATATATATATATATATATATATATATATATATATATATATATATATATATATATTATATATACACCCATATATATATATAGATAGATAGATAGATAGATAGATAGATAGATAGATAGATATATACATATATATATATATATATATATATATATATATATATATATATATATATATATATGTATATATATATGTATATGTGTGTGTGTGTGTATATATACATATATGTATACATATACATGTACGAGTATCTATATCAATACATGTATGTATGAGTATATATATATATATATATATATATATATATATATATATATATATATATATATATATATATATATGTATATACATATATTTCCGTGTGTGTGTGTATATATATATATATATATATATATATATATATGTACGAGTATATATATATACATATATAGAGAGAGATATAGATATATATGTACGAGTATGTATATATATAAACATATATGTGTGTGTATGTACGAGAATATATATACATATATATATATATATATATATATATATATATATATATATATATATATATATATATATATATATATATATATATATTTATATATATTTATATATATATATATATATATATATATATATATATATATATATATATATATATATATATATATATATATATGCGCGTATGTATGTGTGCATGAACGAGGCTGAACCAAAACCAAACACGAGAAAGCAGAGAAAGTGCAACTGTGGCAATAGCACCTACCCATCTCGCCAAGTGAGTTTCCGCGTGCTACCTTTGGTCTTCGGCTTGTCAACTGCAGCACATGCACTGGGGCAGGTACTGACGATCTCGCGATGCCGATAGTTATGAAATACACAGCTGTTTTATGTTTGATTAATCACTGATGTGGAACATTTGTTGTCACACAACACACTTGCATTCAGTTCCAGCCGTAAACAAAAAGACGCACATCACTAGCTCCACGTGGAAAGGGGCGCCGACTACACATGGCTGACAGAATAATTGAATCGACTGGACAGTTCTACTGACTCGTAAAGACAAAGATAAAAAGGAAACGTATATATACATACAAACAGAGGCCGCGGTAGCCGACTGGATAGAGACACGGTAATTTGAGTTCGAGAGTTCGAGTCACAGGCCGGCGCGCTGTTCCCCTGGACAGAGAACTTCACCACGATTGCCAGCCGACATGGGGGTTCATATTCCAGTGGAATGTCCCATGCCGGTCCTAATTCAGCCTCGATGAATGCGGAGGGCTGACGACAGGAAGGGCATCCGGTCGTAAAAACGTGCCAGGCCGTAATGAAGATGCGGATACAAAGGGTGGAGGAAGAAAATCCGCACCGGCGACCCCGATTAGGGATTAAAGCCAGAAGAAAATAGATATATATACATACATACAAACACACACGTTTCCTCCTATGTGTATATAGGTATATAAATGTGTATATGTGTGTGTGTTCATTTTTTTTAACAGTCATTCATTCCACGGCAGGACATAGGCCTTCCTCACTATTGAGAGGTTATTTGGCAGGCTTGCTTGATTGGATACCTTTCTTAATCAACCGTGGTTCGGTGCGCTAACACTTGTGTCACGGCGGCGACTTCCCCTACAACACCGTTTGACTGCTCAAGGCAAGTGGGGGTTGGATACGTCATACTGAAAATGTGATGAAATAAGTAAACAATGCAGTTTTTCATCTAGGCTGCCAAGTACTCTACAAAATCCTGCTGCCTGATCATATATCTCCCTATATTTTATGGTATTCGGGAGTGGTCTTACTTGCTAACGAAGAAATTGATCTGATGAAGCTGGATTTCCACCTTATCTGGAAACATCTTATCTGTTTTTCATAAACTAATAACTTTTTTCATGCCTTCGTAGTAACGTATAAGAACAAAAATCCACTGTACTGTGTTGCAGTTCAAATCTATAAACAAAAAAAAAAAGAAAATGTATCTTTTATCGATGCCACTCGGTTTCCTGTGAATTTTCTACTTGTGTCAATATGTGTCTCTGGTTTACTTGCTGGAAAAATAATTGTTTGCATTCCGTTATTCAGTCATTACTAGTTATTAAAGCTTCATATGATAAGACTATCGTGTGGCTTGTTGATGCTACAGGTAATGTTATCATACTCTGAAAAACATTGACCCCGTTCTTATCGACTATTAGCCAGAAGAAACTTCTTGATCACAGTTCCAAGCCTCTCCCCTCCCCGGAAACTAAGACTAAATATATGGTCGTTGCAAAAAAGATCGACATGACAAGCCTGCCACGTCCCTGCGAGGCCATCCAGGGGGAGGCTTCCACCAAAACGGTATCATTGTGGTGGATGTTTACAAACCACCAGAGACGCGAATCATTAAGATTCGCTGCTCGGCGCCTAAGTACAAAAACTACTCTCTCGCGGGATCGCATCGTTCAACACATCCGTCCCAATCTATAGTGTAGAAGCTGAGTGTTTCGTTCAGGTCGACCAGTGTCTTAATTGCTACCGCTTCAACCACCTGAAACATACGTGCACATACGGGGCCCTTCTTTGCTACCTGTGGTAGAGATTGAATGCTGCAATTCTGCAGGGAAACACGTTACTGTCAGCGGGTCTTGTCACTGTCAACGTCTCTTGCCCTAAATGAAAAGACATCATCAAAACTAAAAGACAAACACTGAATCAAAACATATGCATCAGCAGTACAACAACCAAACACACCCACGTCAAGACAACCAAACACGATTCTCTCAGGAACCATCTTGCCACAACCACACTTCCCAGAAACAAACACCTTCACACCAAACAACAACCCCAAAATGCAAACAATACTTCACGTAGCTTTGATAGCTGCCAGATACAACGCCAGAGAATTCGTGAACATCGTCCCCATCATGCTATAAAAAAGATTTCCCGTTAATTGTGATTCCCGAGGAAATCTTTGAAGAGGTCAACTTGTATACCCGAGTAGCACACACGAACAAACACACACAGGGAGGCGACCATCACACCTGTGCAGCCCTCTACCTCTCGCCCAAACCTACTCCCACAACCACAACTGCAACGAGAACAAAAAGAAACCGCACAAAGAAAAACTACATCAAATACTTCTTACAACAAACACACTTCACCGCTAGACATGCACAAGAAAAAACAAAAAAGACCCTGATTCCCTGAGCCCGGGACTCGTCGTTGTCATGACGACACCACCTGTCGGATTCCGACAGTAGCGAGAGCCGCGAGGTCGACCTCGATCTCGAGGAAGACCTTTAGGCCACCTAACTGCCTGTTCCCCTCCCAGGAACAGTTCCCATTCTCCCTGGCAGGGGAACTCTCGCGGGACGAGGAAGTATCGGGAGTTGGTCCACTGATGATAATATTAATGATGATAACAGTGATAACAGTAATGATAATGACACTAATGATACTACTAATAATAACTATAATGATAATATCAATAATAACTATATTGATAATAACAGAGTTCGAATGGGATTCTCATGGGTTCGCGCGTGTATATGTCATCATAGTCCCATTTTACACCATTTTTTTTTTTTACTTTAATTTGACAGTAACACGGAATAAGATTTCACACGTAAGCTGTAACTATCGTGCGATTAAACAGAGTCAGACAAAAGACAACCAAAATAGTGATAAAATTTTCTGATATACAGCAGTGATGGTCGTAATTGCTACTTGCCAGAGCACCAAGAGATATAAACACCTGTTCGCAATATCATAATATAGAAGTAAAGTGTGTGCTATACTTTTTTTCCTCTTTTTCCTTTTTTTTAGGATCAGTTACCTACGAGAGCAAATAGGGTCGAAGAAAATGGGTTCTATATAACAAAATGAATTAACGGTTCTTCCGTAATCACGTGCACTACATAATTTACCAATTCTTGACATATCTCATCCGTATTCTCCAGTATAAATGCGTTGGTAAAATCATATTGGAAAAAAAAACACTTGCATTGTGCTGATTCTTGCGTGAGGTACGTACGTTTTTTTTCATGTAGCATATATTGTATATTCTCTCATTCAAAGAATATATATATATATATATATATATATATATATATATATATATATATAAATATATATATATATATATTATGTATACATAAACACACGCACATACACACACGCGCACACACACACACACACATACACACACACACACACACACACACACACACACACACGCATATATATATATGTATATATATATATATATATATATATATATATATATATATATATATATATATATATATGCATATATATATATATGTATATATATATATATATATATATATATATATATATATATATATATATATATATATACATATATATATCATACGTAACAGTTTAATATGAGGTTCATTCTAAACTTATAAATGCTCTTTTCGCTCTAGCCAGGATCTGTCCTTGCGACTTCATCCCCGCAAACCTGTGATTTACTGAACCTTGGGTATTAAACACCCCTGGGTCTCCCCACGAAGGCATCAGTGAGGGGAATTTTCAATAAAGGACACTGTGTGCCACCCTACTTAGGAAGGCGTAATTGCATCATCCATTCTCTAGTATCTTATAGAAACCTTCTGGGCGCTAGTGCAGGGGAGTAAATCACATTTTGTGTTTCTCTGTCGCTCTCTCTCTCTATCTATCTATCTATCAACCTATCTCTCTCTCTCTCTCTCTCTCTCTCTCTCTCTCTCTCTCTCTCTCTCTCTCTCTCTCTCTCTCTCTCTCTCTCTGTCTCTTTCAATTTGATTTTGTTTTGATCGTGTTTTTTCTTTTCTTTTCTTTTCTTATGAATATATAGTCCCTTATACAGTATAAAATGAGACAATAATAAATGAACATGTTTAAAGGATGAATGGGAATTGAAGCTACAATTAAAGTCCAGCTATTAAAAATAGGTTTTCTGTATTTGGACAGTACTTTTGAAAACTACGAGCATTTTGGGGTTAAGAGTACTGAACTGGTTTAAAATACAAATTTCAAGTATTCACCTGGAACCCTATTTTTCGTAAGAGGAACTTAAACTCAAACCAGGATCATAGGTGATGAAAATGAGTTACTTGCATGATCTTAGAGACCACTGGTCTATGCTCATTCTAAGTCATCGTGTTTTGAGTTTCCCAGGTTGTAGGAATCTAGAATGGCTACATTGTAAGTCAACCCGTATTAGTCTACTCATTTATCCTCAGTATTTTTACCTTGAATTGAGTGAATGATTCTTCAGTGTTTTGTGTAATTTTCTACTTCTACGTTTTGCTAAAATTTGTAAGAAAAAACAGTACATTTTCACAAAGCTGATATTATCTTATCTTTCACAGCTCTTTCAACACGAAACCAAATTGGCAATTAATAAGTATGGATACTGTTGAACGTATAAGTTTATGACAATATGTATGTGTGTGTGTGTGTGTGTGTGTGTGTGTGTGTGTGTGTGTGTATGTGTGTGTGTGTGTGTGTGTATGTGAATACAAATATCTAATTTGAGGTATTATTGTAAGTGAGGTCAGGAGGGCCGAGCAAAACTACATGAATAATTACTTGGGAAGACATCAGCGTGTAGGAAAAAAATATGCGAAACCAAATTGCAATGAATCGTGCATGTATACACGAACCCTTAGCACCAGTGGGTTAGCTCGCTTTGGTTCATATCAGTCTATGCTTCAGATACCCCCCTCCCCCCCCGCCCTACTCATGCACAGATTAGTAATCAATGTGGCAATGTGGTACCTTTCATTCCCTTTACTTTATGAGGTAGTTACGTACTGGACAAAAGCGATCTACTATGTGTGTACCAGTGTCTGACAAAGCTCCCTTTCACCTCACCAGAAATGTACACTGACCATGCTTTAATCTGTGGCACGGATATTTTGTGTCTTATGGAGATATGGTCTTCACTTCATATCCCTGATGTTTTTGCAAATATTGCCATATAGATAGATAGATAGATAGATAGATAGATAGATAGATAGATAGATAGATATATGGCAATATTTGCAAAAACATTAGGGATATGCAGTTTTCTAACTCTAATTTGAGGAAATTCCTTTTCAAAATATCGGCAAAGAAGTTAGAACCGACATGAATCGATGGTTTCAAAACCTCAGATGAACATTAATGTAGATGCATAAAATCTTTATGTGCCTTTTTAGCAGTACATCAAGTACATGTTAACTCCATATGGGTAATATCTGAAGTCAGTCTTCTAACGTGTCCGTGTTATATGATGTGGCAATGACTTTGGTAGGACGAACGCCTCCAAACGTACTTTGTAAGCTATGAAGAAAAGGCTGTGTATCTTAATTAGTTAACACATTAAAGGCACCAAGAAAAGTGAAATTGTGTGAAATTCGAACATGGAGGTTAACATACTTCCACTCTCCATAGGAAAAACAATCGATGTAATATGTAAAATTAAAAAAAAAAAATGTTTTGTCTGAACCTGAAAAATACATTTGAGAGTTTCCACAGCCTTGCTAAGGGAAGAGCGGTGTGTAGATAAACAGTGTCATAGTCATAGTCAGCTTTCATAACGTGCGGCTTCGAATAAAAACCATAATAGCATATTAAGGAGTTTGATGATTGTCTGCTGTTGATGATTCTGTGTTTCGTAATCATGAACATCAAATGATCAAAAAATTATTTCTCTCTCTGTCTGTCTGTCTCTCACTATCTATCTATCTATCTATCTATCTCTATCTCTCTGTCTCTCTCTCTCCTTCTTCTTCTTCTTCTTCTTCTTCTTCTTCTTCTTCTCCTCCTCCTCCTCCCCTCTCTCTCTGTCTTTCTCTCTCTCTCTCTCTCTCTCTCTCTCTCTCT